TCAGAAATTTATAATAGTGTTTCATAGGGTCATGAATCTAGAGGTGAAACTGAGAGCTTTATCCTCCTTCCTCTGCCCCCAGAGGTGACACAGAACAAGGTGACGATATATGGGGTGCGATATTATCTAACTCATTTTAGAAAGTTTTCTTTTGAAACTGTTTCCAGAGCTATGACACATCATTTGAATATTGACAGTGTTAGTGATAGTAGATCTTCCTTCTTTGAGGATGGATATAAGTTAGGGAAATGACTTTGAATTTTGGAGTTTTGCTGGAGGATAAAGTAGAGATGAAAAAGAGTAATTTCATTTCTAATCAAAGGAGGAGTCCTTTCAGAGTAGAGAACTAATGTTCTTGTGTCTCAGGTCAGTAGGGTCTTGTATCTGTGCTGTATTGGAGAGAAGGTCAGTATTAGCACGCGAACACGCTGATACTTGGGGGATGGAGTGTTAGGAACACAGCGCTCAGATTTTCATCCTGAGACGGTCACTGCAAACTGGGTAAGCAAAATACCTTAGCTCAGGTCAGCATTCTGACTGAGTCCTGGGTGTAAATGCAGTGATATCCTTATCATTTTGGGGGACAGGGAGAATGACAGACATGAGGTCAGGGGAGGTGAGCAATGCTGACCAAATGGCTGTTCATTGTGTGTGTGGTAAAGCAACACAGAGACAGATATCTAGGAAAATAGAAGCTGTAGGCAAGTGGACAATTGAATATGTGCCCTGATGAGATAAAGGGCAAGGGGAAAAGGCTGAGAGGTGGCTGGGATAGTCAGGAGGGAACGGCCATGGTTCCACAATCATGGTCATTGGAGAGAGTCAGCTGAACTGCATGAAGAAAGGCGCCTTCTGAGTTTAGGTGAATTGTCATTTCTGATGAAGTCTTGTGCAGCTTGTGCCCATGCTTGGGCCAATGCCAGGTGTTTCCAGATGGTCACGACAGCCAGGAGGCCCCTTGACAACTCACTCCAGAGTCTAGAACAAATGGGAAATGAAAGATATGGCTTATTCAGACTGTGTATTCAAACAGTGGCTTCCTTTACCAGGCGATTTCACTGAGGATGGATGTGGAGGTCTCATTAATAAATCATACTGCCTGATATTCCTATTGTTTTTAGATGACATGACAACACTTCGCAGGAAATGAAATAAAACAGACCCAGAGAGAATTTTAGAGCAACTTCTCATTTTATACGTCCTATGGAGTCAACAATTTCTGAACAAGCTTAAGATTTAAGATATGCACGTCAGGATGCATACATCCGTGCATAAAATAAGAAATCACGGCGGAGTTTGCCCAGAAGGGTTTGAACAGTGAAAGGGATTTTTCATGTAAGTCAGGAATGAGCAGAGTCAAACACATTAAAGGTGGTTTTCAACATCTGTTCTCAGACAAGGACAGAAACATAAATATGAATAAAAGTCAGGAATCTCATCTTTGCTTTATGTTAAAGAATTAGAATAAATGTAAAGAAATACATACAGCTGTTTTCTGAGACGTATTAGTCTGTTCTGCAGAAGATTGTTAGTAAAGATGTCAGTCGACCATTACACAGACATAACCTAGAAATCCCAGGAAACGTCTTATGTTAGAAAGGCAGAAGTGAGTTGAAGATTAATAAATATTTAGAGGAAAATTGAAACATCTGATGAATAAGGGCCACTCAGAGAACTGGCCAATCTGGCTTTCCTTTCATTTCATATCACATGATAGTCATTAAAAATTATTGCCCATCATTTATTGATTGTCTGCAATTGGCTATTCAAATAGCCAAATAAAATATATATATTTTAGCAATGCTCTTATTCATATTCATTAAACAAATCTACTTTTTCTATAGACCATTTATTTCTGTGAGTAAAATAAGATGAAATATGATAGTATTGGCCTTATCCTTTAAATGAGGTTTAATTAATTTACAAGGATGCCTGGTATTGTGTTCTGGGTTGTTAGATTATGTTACTGGAGAGCTGACTTTCATATTTTGGATCGAAACTAACTCTGAGATTTAAAAATATAAGCTATTCATTCACTCAAAGCATGTGCTTGACCTGAATTGGTTGTCTTAAGCGCTGTGGCATGTGTGGTTTGTATTGTGCATTGCAGGGATTATTCTTGGACAAAGTAACCCTTACTTCTCAAAGAGATAGGATCAAATTTGTGTTTCAAAAAATTATTCTGGTTATATTGTGGAGAAGTGAATGGAAGGGGCATAATTGGATGAAGGGGGAAAGTTGGGTAGGTATTCCAATAATCCAAGTTAGGGACACAATATTATCCATTAGTTAAGAGTGTGGACTCTGAATCTGCCTGTCTGGGTTTGAAAACAGCATCTCTTACTAGCTGTCTGACTTTGGGTAAGTCACTTAATGTCCCTATGTTTCAATTTTCCTATCAGTAATTTGGGAATCATAATCTTTCCTACCTCGAGGGTTAGCATAAGAAACAAATGAGTTCATGTACCATGCCAGGCCACAAGGCAAGCCCAAGATACATGGTGTATGCTATCAGTGAACTAGGATGGCTGGTACGGAGAGAGAAATAAGGGGACCACCTTTGAGTATATTTAGGTATTAGAATGACCATGACTTAGTGATGGTCTGACTGTGGCGGAGGGATTGGGAGAAGGTCCTTCACTGAAATACAAGTACTGGTAGAGAACACGGGATTGTGGGAGTGATGGGGACTTCCCAATAAAATATTGCCTTTTTTTTTTTTTAAAGAGTGATGATTCTATGCCAAAGTATTTTGATAATATTCTTTGTGTTGCGTGGAGTAGAACACATGGGATGAGTTAAGTCCGTGGGAAAGATTAAAAAAATCAGGAGTTCTGAGCTTCACACAATTGCTCCTTGACTGCGTTTCTCAAGGTGAGAGATGTCCCTTTTGGGTGACATGTTTCTGTGTGTGGTGCCAGCCCTGCATCCATCTTCTCTTAAAGAGGTTTTGGTCAGCATTAGAACTTTTCATAAGCGTGCCGATCTTGTATATAAAAGCATTATTAGCACGATAAAGCCTTTAAAAAATATCAGATAATACAAGGAATGAGTTATTATGAATATGTATAAATCCCAGGTAATTTCAGTTTGTTCTTTATAACTAATGATTTTTACTTGTATTCTTTTTTTATGGGGCTGTCCTAAAATATGTTTATACTTACATGGCTTGTTAAATAAGAATGTGTATATATTCTTTTTTTTTGCTTCCAGTTTTATTGAGTTATAATTGACATATAGCGCTGTATAAGTTTAAGGCATGAAGCATAATGATTTGACTTACATACATCATGAAATGATTATCACAATAAGTTTAGTGAACATTCATCTCATATAGATACAAAATAAAAGAAAAATTGAAAAATTTTTCTTTGTGATGAGAACTCTTAGGATTTACTTTCTTAACTACTCTCATATATAACATCCAGCAGTGTTAATTACATTTATCATGTGGTACATTACATCCCTAGTACTTATTTATCGTGTAGAACTGGAATTTCGTACCTTTTGACTACCTTCATCCAATTTCTTCTCCCCCAGCCTTCACCTCTGATAACTACAAATCTGATCTCTTTTTCTATGAGTTTGCTTGTTGGGGATTTTTAAAAATTTTTTTAATTTTATGTTATTTATTTTTTTATACAGCAGGTTCTTATTAGTTGTCCATTTTATACACATCAGTATTGATTTTGAAGTGTAAGTGACCAACAGCACTCTGTTAGTTCCTGGTGCACAACATAATGATTCGTTATTTCTGTGTATTACAAAATGATCACCAAGATAGGTCTAGTTACTGTTTGTCACCATACACAGTATTATTGACTGTATTCCCCACCACGTACGTTTCATTCCCGTGACTGATTTATTCTGAAACCGGAAGTTTGTGCCTCTCCAGCTCCCTCACCTGTTTCACTCACCCCCTCACCTCCTCTCTGGTAACCAACTGTTCGTCCTCTGTATTTATGACTCTGTTTCTGTTTTGTTATGTTTATTCTTTTTTGTTTGCACATAGAAATAAAAGCATACACGATTTGCCTTCTCTGTCTGACTTATTTCACTTAGCACAATATCCTTTAGGTCTATCCAAGAGTTTATTCTTTTTTAACTTTTTATACCTGAGTAATATTCCCTTGTGTACACACACTGCATCTTCTTTACCCAGTCATCTATTGATGGGCACTTAGGTTGCTTCCATGTCTTGGCCATTGTGAGTAATGCTGCTATGAACATTGGGGTACATTATTAGTGTTTTATTTTTTCTTCAGAAAAATATCCACAAGTGGAATTGCTGGATTGTATGGTAGTTCTATTTTTAATTTTTTGAGGAACCTCTATAATGTTTTCCATACTGGCTGCACCAATTTACATTTCCACCAACAGTACACGAGGGTTCCCCTTTCTCCATATCTTGCCAACATTTGTTATTTGTTGTCTTTTGGATGACAGCCATTCTAATGGGTGTGAGGTGATAGCTCGTTGTGGTTTTGATTTGCACGTCCCTGATGGTTATTGATGTGGAGCATCTTTTCATGTGTCTGTTGGCCATCTGTATGTCTTCTTGGGAAAAGTGTCTATTCAGGTCCTCTGCCCATTTTTTAATTGGGTTGTTTTCGTCTTTGAAGTTGAGTTGTGCGAGTCATTTGTACATATTGGATATTAACCCCGTATCAGATGTAGGATTTGAAAATCTCCTACCCCATTCATAGGCTGCCTTTTCAAACTTGTTGACGGTTTCTGTCACTGTGGAAAAGCTTTTAACTTTCATGTAGCCCCATAGCCAGAATTATTTTTTAATGCTTTATAATTCTTTGAATTCCTCAAGTGGGGTGTTAAGTAAATAAGCGCTCAAAAATTTGATGAATTATCGATATCAACTCTGTATTTTTCAATATGCTGATTCTTTTGTATTTTATGCAAAAGGGCATTTACTTTCAAGCAAATGCATGTGATTGCATGCCAATTTCAATGATTTATCCTTTCTGTTTCCCCTGTTCTTCTAGTCTGTTCCCAGTTTTCAAGAGGAGTGTATGCAATTTTTGGATTTTATGACAAGAAGTCTGTAAACACCATCACGTCATTCTGTGGGACGCTCCATGTATCTTTCATCACTCCCAGCTTCCCAACAGATGGCACCCACCCATTTGTCATTCAGATGCGACCAGACCTCAAAGGAGCTCTTCTCAGCTTGATTGAGTACTACCAATGGGATAAGTTTGCATACCTCTATGACAGTGACAGAGGTAAGTGACAATATCCTTCTCGCTTTGTAATGGGTCAAATTCAGTGCCCACACTTGGTACTTCCGTGTGGCTTTATAGGGCTATGTAAGTGTGTTGAAGTCCAAGGGTAACTTGGCTTAATTATGCTGTGTAAATGAGTAATGCAATTCAAAACCTGGGTAACATATTTAGAGTAAAACAAACAAGCAAAAACGTTGTGGATGTACCATTTACAGAGATAGATTGTGTTCACACAACGCCCGAATGTTCAGTTGTAATGCACAAAGCACTTTCTGGTACCAGCAGCTAAGACCCTAGGATGACTATATTCCCAGTCCAGGGTCAGTGAAGGGACAGCCTTGAAAATTGGTTTAAGTAAGATTTGAATAAACCTATAAATAAGAACGTCTACAGAAATGTATAGACATTAAATATTTCCACACGCAAAGATTTTATCAGGCAGGGACAGTTGTTATTAACCCTGCTTTAGAATGAGATCCCTGAATCTCAGAGAAGTTGAGTTTTTCATGAGCCACCCACGTGCAGTTCAGCTGAACTCAGGTCTTTTGACAGCAGACCTGTGCTTTGTCACAGCTCTTGTATAGCTACTTACGAGGAGATGTTTTGGATTAGATAGAGTCTTGGCTCATTTGACTAGTTTTTATTTCAGGGGTAAGGGTACTTCCTTTGTGTTTCCCGCATCATTTGTTGTGAAGTTTGGTATTAGCGGACCTGATTGATTTACGTGTCATAGAATTTCAGATAGATATTTCTAACCATTCCTGGGTCTGTGATTCAGCTTCAGTGGGTCTGTGTACTTCGTAACATCCAATGAACATTTTGTGCACATGAACGTAGATGAATTATCTCGAGAGAGTATCCACCAACAGGCTCAAAAGTATTGACAACCACCATTGCCAGAGTACCTAATAGATACCAGCCTGTCCACGAAGCAACTTGCTTTAAATGTTCAAGTGAAAACCAGAAGCCTCTTTCTACCAGGAGAGGGCACCTTGCTTACCTGCAAGGGCGGCCAAGCGGGGAGCCAGCTGCCAGCCCTCTGCCGCGATCAGTCTGGAGACATTGGCTACAGCAATCACAGCCTAGCATGCTCCAGCCTGGTGTCTGATTCCCTGTCCCGGCCTCCAGTCCTGAGAGTGAGAAGGCTCCGTGGAAAAGCCAGTCAGCACTATAGACACTGAGAAGAAAGACTGTCAACAACTTTCCCCCCTGCTCTGACAAGGGAGAGCCTTGCTATACACATGGGGAGCGAAAAGCTCAAACACAGAACAGTTGAGAGTAAATACGGATTCCGGTGTGCTGGATGGCCCTCTGCCCATCCTTCTAATAAATGTGATACAGGGCTTATCACCGTCTTCCTCTTGCCCTCTGCTACGTCCTCCTTAACTCTTGTCTCCTCTTCGTAGGATTTCTACCATCTAAATGTCTTTTACTTCTAGCCACTCTTCTGTGTCATTGTCATGACTCCAGGCCAGGACAGCCCCATGTGTTTGCTCCTCCTTCATCTTTCCATTTCTGTACTTGTTTCTCTTCAATCCATTTTCCGTAAAGGAGCCAGAAGTTTTGAATGCTTTTATTTATTTTTAAATTTAATTTTGTTAAATTAAATTGGGGTATAGTTGACTTACAATGTTGTGTTAGTTTCAGGTGTACAGCAAAGTGATTCAGTTACAATATACATATATCCATTCTTTTTCAGATTCTTTTCCATTATAGGTTATTACAAGGTATTGAGTAGAGTTCCCTGTGCTGTATAGTAGGTCCTTGTTGTTTATCTGTCTTATATATAGTAGTGTGTACATGTTAATCCCAAACTCCTAATTTATCCCTCCCCTCCACCTTTCCCCTTTGGTGACCATAAGCTTGTTTTCTGTGTCTGTGAGTCTGTTTCTGTTTTGTAAATAAGTACATTTGTATCATCTTTTCAGATTCCACATATAAGTGATGGCATATATTTGTCTTTCTTCGTCTGACTTACTTTGCTGAATATGATAATCTCTAGGTCCATCCATGTTGCTGCAAATGGCATTATTCTATTCTTTTTTATGGCTGAGTAATATTCCATTGTGTATATGTACCACATCCTCTTTATCCATTTTTCTGTTAATGGACATTTAGGTTGCTTCCATGTCCTGGATATTATAAATAGTGCTGCAATGGATATTGAGGTGTGTGTATCTTTTCAAATTATGGTTTCCTCTTGGTATAAGCCCAGGAGTGGGATTGCAGGATCATACGGCAGCTCTATTTTTTGAATGCTTTTAAATGCTTTACTGACCACATTGCTCCTTTGCTTGAAATACTCCAGTGGCTCCTCGTTATAATGAGGATAAAACTGAAATTTCTTAACATGACTGTAAGGTGTTATAGTATCTGGTTCCTGCCCACTTATACTACTGCCTTTCTCACTCACTAGGCTAAACCCATCTCACGAATATTCTTTTACTTTCTCAGATGCACCAAATTCTTTCACCTTGAATCTCTGCACAGACTTCTAAACTTTCTCCTTCAGGTCTTAGTTTATATAACATTCCCGCAGAGGTGCATTTCATATTGTTATCTTCTCTCAAAGCAGTCTTTTCTTTGCCTACATAGTACTTATCACAAGTTATAATTTATATTGATGTTCATTCTTTCACCCAAGAAGTGAGCTCCCGGTATATTCTAGGGACTGTTTTAATCACACGGACTAAGCTTTATTCTTTTAATTTAAGATCTGGCTCTAAGCCCAGGAAGGCAATGCCCTGGCAGTACCTACAACACCTAACTGTACATACGGCGCTTAAGATAACGCTAGCACAGAGTTGATGTCAATAAATAGCATTAATAAATGAATGAGTTGTGCATCTGTGTATTTTAAGTTTGAGATGATATTAGAACCTGAATCTTGCTTGCTAAATTGAAGGATCAGAGGTGAATTCTCCCTACTCTGACTAGGTGCAAGGTGGTGTTTTCACTTTAGGGACACACTTCAGCGTCACTATGGATCGGATGATGATGGATGGACTTATGTACTTGTGAAAAGAACCTGAGACATCTTTAATGATTTTATTAACACTTTATGAATATTAAATGAAATTGAAATGATGCGATAATCTCCAGTCATTAAATTATACAAATTGATTTGAGTTCGAGTGCATCTGTGGAGAGGTCAACATTACAGTGATAACATTAAGTAATTGTATATTAAAGCCAGAACTGACATTATGGATACATTTTCAAGATATTTTCAAATGGATACTCATGTTTTAATATGAAGAGTATTACACTGGCTTTTCATCTGAGTCTATTTTCAGAGATCAATGTGTAAGACTCAAAATACTGGCAAAAGACCTTTATGTAATGTTTTACTTGACTCGTGGAAATGGCATGTTTGCTGTCTGATTTTTTTCTTATTAATTACAATTGTTATAGCTTTGCTGTCATATCACATTTTAAAACGTTTATTCATACATTTATCACATGAACTGTTTTTTCCCCCTATGGTCCTTAACCCACTTCTCTTACACTTTAAGGACGTACCTCCTTGTTTTTGTGTTACACGACTTGAGAATGAATCTGTGTGCCCTTACTATATTATGAGTGCTTTTAAAAATAGGTTCCATGATTTGATCTTTCAAGTTATGTCTCCATATGCCTCAATTTCAAAGAGTTTTGTCTGTTTTTGATATGGCACTC